CCAGTGCCTACACGTGTAGGGGCCTTACTGCTCAGTAAACTAGGCTAATGAGCCATTTGCTAGTACCAATAAAAATAGGTGTAAATTAATGACATATTAGCTACTGAGCAGTAGTGAATGTGTAGATGTTGACTAGGAGCAAATTACTCCTGGTCAGCCTAGCTGGCAGGTGTCCACAAGGGGTGGGGAGAGATGTCTCAGCTCAGCAGGATGCTCTCTGCCAGCCACATGGGGATCAGGACCTTCCTGATTCCCACATGGCTGGGAGAGTTATCCCCCCCCTAGGAAGAGACGCTCCCTCCCAGCCAGGTGGGGATCAGGAGGGGTAGACATGCAGCTGGCAGGCAGTATGGTAGACAGCATCCCCATTGAGGGAGACAGTTCTCCAGGCCATGTGGGGATAGGGACCAGCCTCTGTGCCCCTTGCCAGCCCTAGGATTGGTACCCAGGGGAGCTTGGAGCTCCCCCTGGCTGCTGCAGGAGGACAGAACAGAGCAGGAGCAGCCCTGGACTAAACTGCTCCTATTAGGTGCTATTTGCTTCTGATGGGTACATGTATGCCAGAACTTTTAACGAGCCTGAATTTTCTGAAAAGAATATGCAGGCACTTTAATTGCACAGGTAGATGATCCCACTGCTTCCCATGCAATCAATAACTGCTAACCAATCAGAGACTAAGACATATGCCACAAATATCCAATCATAGCCACCTAGTGTGGTCATTTGACAGGTGAAGTCACCAAGTTCTGAAATGGTCTTCTTTTTCAACAGCCATATGGCATCTGATCTACAGCAAAAGATGATGAACATTCCTTTTCTCACCAGCCATGGCTTCTTGGGACTTCCTAGAAAAAAAAAGAGGGGAGGGTAGTATGTCCCTTGTCAAAGCTGCCACCACTTACAGCACGTGTACTGTGTCCCTTGTCAAGCACTGTGTATATGAGATGACTATGCACTTAATCCTTGTTCTTCCCTCTATCAGAAACACAGTAGGAGCCACTCTTGGCCCTACTTCATTTGTGGGATGGGATGTGTGTGACGGCAGCACTGCATGCCTACTCTCAACTTGAGAGGAAGGGCAAGGTTGGGTACTACTCTGCTCTTGCAGGCTTGCAGATTTGTGCATATGTGCAAATGAGCCTGCGTGTGGGTACTTCTATTGGCTATCTCCCTGCATGCTAGGAGAAGGGGACAAAAGTTCCTTGTGGTGCTCATGAACAGATTTGGTGAGTCATTGCAGAGGAGGGAAGTTCTGTTAGAGGCTTTTTATATTGATTTGTTAGCTGCTAAAAGGCTGCTGAGGACAAGTATGTTGATTTGCTGGTTGAGAGGGAAGGTTGAATTGATCTGATGTCACAGTGGTAAATTTTGTACACGAGGGGTAAGTATTTCTGATGGAAAAAGAGCTTATTGAGTTATTGGCTAACTGTGGGGAAGAATTGATTGGAAGAGGGGGTAAGGATTTGATTAACTGCAAGAATAAGTTGCTTTTCAAAATGTCTAGTACATTTTGAATATGTACTTCTTCCCCATGTGGCTGTCCTTTATGAAATAACTAGGGAATGTGACTTGGTCCATTGTTGGCTCTCTCCTTGGAACCTCATTCCGCATTTCCTTGTACTTCTGAAAATAGTGAGGCCTGCTATCATGTGTGACTTTTTAATATTCCTTTCATAAGCATTGCTGGAAATATTCTCAGTTTAGTGTTTCTAAAGGGTTTATTTGTTTGTTTGTTTTTTTATTTTCCCCTGAAGTTGTGATTTGTTCCATAGTTTAGTGAGTTTGCTGGTATGAGTTCCCTGTCATTCCCTTATGGTACCTAGGGCCAGATTGTTTAACCAAGTTAGACACCTAACTCCCTTTGTAGTCACAGAATTAGGTGTTTCCTTGCTCATTTAAGTGTTCTTGTCAAACCCAGTAGACACCTAATTACTTTTGTAAATCTGGCCAGTACATGGAACAGTGGCTGTCCTTTTGCTTTGTATTGGTTTAGTGCCCAGCACAACATGGTCCTTGCTTAGGACTTGGATTTCTAAGTGCTAAAACAATAAAAATACATTTTAATGATAAATGAGTTTAGTTGTATAAATATTGAATAAAGATTATTCACTAAAGAAATGTTTCATTTCCATTGGGTTTCTATATAAGGTTTATATAAAAAAGAGGGACAGAAATATTGTTTTTTCCATTTTACAAATGAGTCACAGAAAAGCTGAAATAATTGGTCTCAAGGATCTGAGAACTGTAACTCATTAGGGTATGGACAAGTAAAGTACAGCAAGTCAAAAGGCCGGGAGGAACTTACCACAGAACAGCTGATACATGATAACTGTCTGTGTGCCCACTACTACCCTGCAGCAAGGGAAAGATAAGGGTGAGATTACACATTGCAGTTAGCATGTACTAACTCTAAGGAACATTAAAACTGTGCTAAACTTAGCACATTCTGTGAGCAGTTGCACATTAAGGGTTAATACCCTCTCATGCACTGCTCAGACCTGCTGCAAGAGGGCTGGTGAGTAGGATCATGGCTAGGAGCTACAAGTCTTCTCCATGCCTGCCCTACTTGCTGGCTCTCTAGCTGCTGTATAGGCAGGAGGAAGGGCCTGCCCATGCTGCTTAGCAGGGGGGAGGGGACATGGTGAGTGCGATGGGAGGGTGAGTAGATGCTTGGCAGAGGAGGGGCCAAGGGAGGCAGCTTGAGCCTGATCTAGGAGAATGGGGAACTGCCAGGCACACCCATGGCTGCTGGACAGCTCCCTGCCCCATCCCTGCCATTCCCCTTTCCCAATGGGGAGCTTCTGGACAACTATGGGACCTAGTGGAGATAGCAAGGGGGCAGCATGGATTTGATCTGGGGTGCGGGGAGCTGCTGGTCCTACCCACCCCCTCCCACGGCAGCCCAGCAGCTCTCTACCCATCCACTTCCTCCTATTCCACCCTCTGATCCTACCTCCCTCTCCCTTACCAATGTCCTCCTCCCCTTTGAATCCCAATTCATCCTTTTCCCCTCTCACTCACCTGATGCCTGGCTCTACCTAGCTGTCAGCCCAGAATTGTAGAGTCCTAGATGATAGCTAGTCCACCTGGGAGCAGTGCCTCCTGGGGTAATGGGGGACTGCAAATTGGTGGTCAAATCTAACTTCAGTTGAACAGCCAAAAGTTAACTTAAATGGATCTGTGTAGCACATTTCAAAGATAACCCTCGTCCAAAGTGGCGTAATCTTAAAATGCCTACAGGGCACTTAGCATGTATTAATGAGCTTCAATGCATGATTGCTTGCATTGTAAGTGCTCTTAATATAGGCTAACTGTAACCTGTAATCTCATTCTAAGATGTGGGGGTCTTCATCTGGGTTTTCTTGAGAGGCAAACTACTGTAGTTCCATTTGGCATGTTATAAGTGGGCATATAGATAGTTCCCATATAGCAGCTGTTACACAGAAAGTCTTCTCCTTTTAACTTGCTGTGATTTGTTTGTTTGTCCATGTCTCTATAATGTCCTGCAGAATGCTTTTTCCCCTTGCCTGGGAAGTTGTTTTTCACTGGGGCTACCAAGGAAGCTTACTCAGTGAAATTTCTGTTTGTTGTAGGGCAGCAAGAAACAAGTCCCCAAAGGTCACTGCAGTTATTGGAGTCCAGTGTTTGAATGTTACAATAATCTCCCTGCTCCAGTGACATTACCTTAGGAAATATGACTAAACTGAATGTTACAGACTGCTTTGACTTGAGAAGAAGTATTGCTGTTCTTTTCCTTCCCCTAAACCTCTCCAGTACAGGAAGATAAAATGGGGATGACTTTACAGCAGGGATATTGGACCTGGTGCTGTCTGTAGCTGCACTGCCAAACTTTGGAAAGAAAATAAATGGTGAGTAGTTTTCAACTGCTGTAGAAATAAAGACTTTATTTCTCAAATAATAAGCCAGAAATATTTCTAGCCATTAACTACCTATAAAAAATAAGCCAGCCTACTTCACACAGGAAATTATTCAGAAAAAGGCCTCAAATAATTTACACATTAAAAAAAAAATCCTCTTTTAAAAAGTATTAAGCCAATAGGAGCAGCTTAGCTCAAATGCACCCATCCCAGACAATCCAGCTTCCACCAATATGTTACTGATCTGGCACCACTGAAGGAAAAAGGTATTTCAGGGATATTTGTGCAGCTGGGAAAGATTTTAAAATTTAAATTCTTAATGGGAAACTTATGAACACACTAGAGCTGAGCAAATATTTCATAATGAATAATTTATATGACAATAACAATAATAATACTATTAGGCTGCTGTAATTCATACTAACAAAGATCAGTTCATATTATTAGGAAGGCGGAACCATCTTTTTGACAGCTCCTTGTTACTCCACTGCTGCCCTAAAAGAGAGCTGGTTCATAAAAAAAAAAAAAAAAAAAAAAAAATCTGGCCCAATACATAGAAACCTAATTGTTTTGGTAAAATTTCATGGCAGCCAGGGGTTTTCATTAAAAAATAGCTAAATAGAAATCATTTTCTCCTTATGAAGTTATAAGATGTTCACTGTACAAAGTGTCACTTTAGAAAGTTTCTTCCAAAAGATGGTTTGCCAGCTCACAGTTGGTTCAAAAAAAAAATTTTGTATTGTACATTTGTCAGGGATGCTCTAAGGGGTACGGAAGCTGACAGATTACAAGCAGGAGTTGACAGCTTCACTCCAGTTACAGCTGATTAAAGACTGCAGAGGCCTGAGGGCCCCAATCTTTAAAAGAGGGCCACTAAAAATTCACCAAAGCACTTGCAGCCTGCATATTTTACATAAGCTGGAACTGAGAACTCTAAGTACTGAACTAGGTAATCAGCCACGTATGCACTCCTGGAAGTGTTTAATATAAGAAACAAATGATGCTTGCAAAACACAGCTGAAAACCACCAAGGAAAATCTTACGTACGTGTTTGAATGGAAATGACAAGGCAATAGGTACAGTGATACAGTAGTAACAAATCACTTCAGGCCTTACTTTGTATCGTGATAATGTGGCCCAGTGTTGTTTTGTCATTTCTTCACAATTCACAATTCAATTGATCCTATGAATGATAAAGCAATATGTTTCTGAATGGGTGTAGCACAGCAGAAAAACTAACTGAAGTAACACACACAGGATTTTTCTGCACTGTATAACTTGTAAACATAAGCAGGCTATAAAATAAAGATCGTATACATGGTAACCGTTGTCATCAGCATGCAAACGCCTAAATACAAAAAGAGTCACTGACAAAATACTGAACAGGTCAAAACTGGACAAACCCTGCAAAGAGAATATACCCAGAGCCAAGTCAGTGTACAGGAGAGTAGCATGTCATCATCATCAGGAGCAGGCTCTTGAAACTTGGGAAAATATCAGCAGTCACTGAATTCTTCAGTTTAAAAACAGCAATATGCTACCCTGTTGGCTAAGCCTTCTCCTGCAGATGTGTGCCTGAAGGTGTAGTAAGGTGAATTGTCCAATTACGTACAATAGGGCTATTTTTGTAAATAAGGATACTTCTGTGTATACTTGTCTGCAGGACGCTGCTTGAGTAAGGGCTCCAGAACAGAGCATTATGATGACCTTAAAGCAGCATGTAGTCAATGCTATAACATTACTTGTTAGAAGAAATAATTCTGGCCGAGACTTTCAGGTGTGCCTGGTGACATAGGATACTTCCATTTTTAAGAGTCCAACTTGGAAGAGCCTGCTTAGGAGAGTGGGTGAGCAACACTTCTGAAGTTGCACTCAAGACAGGCACTCAAAATCACTTGGCAATCATAAGATTCTTGATCCCTTGCATTTTTAAGCAAGTAACTGGACATTTGCTTTGGACTGTTTCTCCAGAAACTCCTTGTCCAGTGGCTCGCAATGGGGGTGCCACAAGAACCAGTTTCACCCCATGGCAGTAGCAATGGTGACTGAAGTGACTATGCTGTGGTACCCTCTTGGCCTGTCTGCTACCCACCCTTTTGCCTGCTCCCTGCCCTTCCCAACCCTTTAGCACTCACCACATGCTTCATGTGCAACTTGGTGCCTCATCCCTGCTGGCTAGGTGGCCCTGGATTCTGTCCGTTAAGGACCAAGACTCAGTTTAGGAGATTGCCCTAGGGTAACTAAGGGAGGAACTTAATCCAGTGGTTCCCAGTCCCCTGTAACCTGGAGTCCCCATGTGTGGGGAGTCCACTGCTGTGCTTAGCAAACATGCCCTGGGCTAGACAGAACTAAGGAAGCACTCCCCACCAGCATCCTGAATGGGTGAATATAATATGATTAGAATGATATAATCAAATAATAATATATTAATTAATATATAATTACAATGTGTATATTCAAATATTCACCATATGTTAATATTAGGTAATTTTAATGGTGTGCCATTGAAAAGTTTTGGAGGGGTGCCTTGAGTCTAAAAAGATTGAGAATTACTGTTTTTCCTGTAGAAAATATGTGCGCACCCCTTTTTCTTATAGAGAAGTTCCCCATTTATAACACTCAAATGTACACAACTACACATCATGTGCTACCATGTCCACACTGGAAGTATATGTCAGAAAGTCTTACAATTGCTGAAGGTGATCATTTCATAGATAGCTAAAGTACCTTGAACTTGATCTCACATGCTAGGAGAGCTTATAATTGTGGCAATGTATTTCTCTAAATTCTCTCCCAGGTTGATTTTATGTGGTACGGAACTGTCTCACTACCATGAACAAAATGAGAATATCTAAGTATACATGCACATACCACCACACAAACAGCTATAATAAAATACCACAATTATTATTTTTTTTAATTACTGAAATCATTAAAGAATTTTTCTTTTGTTGTTCTAAACAGGAGCTTTCCATTAACCAACACAACTGCTTTTCACTTCCCTTACCTAAATTTCAATCTTGGTTTATTAACACCAGAGGCTTGATTCTTTAAAATGCTGATTAAAAAAATCATGTGATCTTTGGAATATTTTGGCTATGTACTAATACTTAAAAATATATAATAAATTGTGACTGTGCCTTGAAAACAAGAGCAAGATACTGTATGTTAAAGGAAAGACGTTTGTGTTTGTTATGGCTTTTTATCAAGTAATGGAAAGCTAATGGTTTAAAGTTCCAAAATGAAAGCTTTGTTCAAAAGGCAGTTTCTTTGTATAATTAATCTTAAGTAATGCTTTTGCTATGTATTTTCATTTACCAAACTGGAAAGAAGAATTTAAAATGTAATCCACTTCTAGAGGAACATGCATAAGATATGTTATTAAAGAAAAGAAATTTAAAAGTGTCTTTTGCTCCCTGTGATGTGAAGATGCTTGTAATCCAATTCGCACAAACTTCCCAACAGGACCTTTTCATTAGTTTCATCCTTTAGATGGTTTTTAAAAAAACCATCTTTCAGTCTTAATTTTTTTAAACTGTACAAGTCAAGGAATTTGCTGATTTTTCCCCCTTGTGAGCAACAAGAATCTCTTTGGACTAGTACTCTGTCTGGATATGTGTTTAAGTATGTAAATAGATGGAAATGTCTGCATATTATTATATATGCATTTCCAAGAGATCCCCCTTTCTGGGATAGTATCTTCAGCATTCAGCTTAACTAAGTATATACTGGAATCATTACACTCTGCCTCAGGATTTCAGCTTTTCTTAAAATAGTCAATAAAAATGAATAATAAGAGGATAACAGATAAATTTGGCATCACTGAGCTTTCTCTTTTTACATAAAATAATGCTTGAAATTCATCCAGCAGAAAATTTTATGGATGTAGTAGACATACCGGCATTTTGAGTAAACTCGGAACTTAAAAAAAAAGAAGATGGAATGATTTAGGGAGTGAGTTTAGGAGAGGCAAATGTGTTTAGTTTGCATCATTTATTTCAAAATATGCATTCCCTTTTTAAAACCCCCAGAAATTCCAATGATGAATACATGCCAATATTCCAGTTCAAACAGGGTGTTTAACGGTGGCTCAGCACCTGTTTTCTTATCTACCTACTATCTACTAGTCTTGCTTGCTTGTAATCTAGATTTATGTTAAGTCTACCCTTTCCCTTCATCTACAAGGTCCTGGGACATTCAGGTAGCCAATCTGCCCTTAAATATGTCTCTTAGGAAATGGTGCTAATTAGTATTGGAATTTACAGCCTTCCATTTTATTGACTTGTCCTACTTTCTTCGATAATTAACTAATGAGTAAAGTAATGAGCTATGTTAGTCAGTCATGCTGTTCAATTAAACAGTAAATCAATTATTGAAAATAGTTTCGGACAGCTCTTATGTCGTCATGATATGTGTATGTGTGTGCGTGGGTGCATATTTAATATAAATGCAATTATGCAGTAGGTGTTACAATGTCAGTCTTTGTAAAGTACATCATTTATGAAGTGCTTTCTGATGGCAGCAAGAAG